CTATAGTTAACTAGACCCTCAGAGAACCCCTTGCTTTGCTACTTCCTTTCCCAGCCAGAAATATTCCTATAGGATAGCAAACAAATATAACTGTAAATTTAATGCTGACAAACAGTCGCAGATGACCATATACGATCTGCGCTCGTGACCTGAAAAAAAGAGCCTATTTTGCCGTTTGCTCTTTGATGCTAGAACTTCCAACCTATTCCATATCAGTTACCAACGTGAAGACATGTGCGATCGAGATGTGGCAGCTGGAAATGCCCTGGAGTGTTGCAGCATGTGCTTAGCGAGATTATATTGAATCGCAACTCTGCGGACAGTTTTATAGCCTTAGAATGATGGTTACAAGAATTAGTATGCGAAAAATGGCATATTATACGTGCACTGCTACCCCACCCATATCACAATGTATCTTGTTTATTTTCAGTTAAGAAAAGTAGATAACTATCTCGAATTAGCAGGATTGATAATCCACCTGGATTCAAACATTATAACGAACTACTTTTACATCTGCTTTCATCAAGTAGCTAGGGACTTATAACCGTTTGCAATATTTATACCTACTGAGCTTGCTAATTCAGAATCAGAAAAAAGGTAACTGTGCAGTCTAGAACATGTGAAGACAATTAGTAGTAGGCAAGTAACGGAAGAATACTGACTAACACTATGGGGATGACTGCATTTAATATCGTTTTTGATTGAAGAATTTGACAGTGTTTAGTTTCTCAAATGACAACCGATGTAATCTGGTCATCACATTCTAATCTAGGTTTTAATAGAGGGGATGCAATTATATTATTTCCCAGGTATGATCTCAAACTTCGAGCCAGGAGCTACCCCCGATATAGAACTAGCATGCATAACTTCCAATTCGAATATATTCATGTTCGACAACGGTATGCCATCAGCGTAGTTTGATCCACTATGGAATTTCGTACATGACTGTCATACTGTTAAACGTAGCAGTCGTTGAAAGCCCTTCTTTCTGCATGCCGTACCTGTTAATTCCTTTGATTGTCAAGACAGTTAAAGCAAGTGCATCCTACTATAATCGGACCGGACCTGTTGAAAAAGTGTTAAATTGTACTATTCCCCTGCGAAACCCGTAATGGTATGTGTAGATAGTGAACAAAATATACTCGGTAATGCAGTGGCGTCTACCTAAAGGACGATGCACAGCCCAGCACTGCATTACGTCCCTAATCCCGCCCCCACCTTCCGTGTATGTACCTTGGCGCTCACAAATTATCCCGCTTCTAGGTGATTTTTGCGTCGGCTGTGTTTTCTTTCCTTGACAAATTGGACTCAGGTGCGCTTTTAGAATTTGTTGTAGATTTTACAGTTCTTGGCAACATCCGAATTTTGCTATTTACCAGCACCCGAGGTTCGAACTCTACCAAGAGAATTTGAAAGGGGGATGATTAAATAGTCCATAAACGTGCATGCCTTTAGCCTAAATTTTGTGATTTCAATTCAGTCGATGTGCCACTTGGAATTCAGTTGGTTGGCCATCTTTTAATAATCGTACTTCTTCCAGTTGGTATTGAAGCTTATGCCCGTGTCCAAATTCGAGATATGTTCGAGACAGATACTTCCATTAGTCGCTGAGTCCTGTTATAAATACGCAGAAAAGTCTATTTCCTTGTCAACAGTTTCTACCCAGGCTTGCAAATACACCTATAAAGTCTTAAACTGAGATAATTATTGTGTCTGCAATTTTTGCATACCTCAAACTTTGCTCCTTACATGCAATCTATGAGAACTGGCCCAATGGAAAGAAAAGAGCTGTTTGTTGCTCGAAAACAATTCCTAAATATAGTCAAAAATGCTTCAATTCCTTAATTACCCGCTGTTTAACTGTGCCTCATCCTCCTTCGTCATCAGTAACACAAAGAGGGTTGCAGCAGATCGATGCTTGATCGACGCCTTGCCTCATGATCTCTTAATGAAGGGCTCGAAAAGTTTTCGTTTTCCAATCGTACAATAGAATAACTACGTGATAGATTGGACCTAGACTTCGATTTGAGCTCACTTGCACCCAAAAATTCCCACAGACATTCTCACATGAAAACGCGAGAACCAAGGATGTCTCAGTTGCCAAGTAGGTCATCAAATCATTAGAAAGAACTAACTGACCATACTTATAATTCCCTCCTGTCAGATTCAGCTTGGTTTCGCATCCTGTCGTTCCATATGTCTGTAACCACTCTTTTTTCCGAGTCAACTGTCCTTTTGTACTGTTACATATCACGTCCATTGCAAAAAATAAAGAATTTTCATTTCATGGCGTCTGGTTATTAACCTTTTTTGCAGAATAGTAGTTTTTTGTTGCCTTCATGATAATCTTAGTGTTATTTTTTCAATACGTATACATTTTGCCTGGGTTCTCATCATCCTCCCCTGTCTGTTAATTTTGCTATCTATCTCAGTCTCTCTCATGCATTTTTTTCGCTGTTTCTGTTGTCGTTCTCTTGTTCGCTGTCATTTCCATCCGTACAGATCTTTGCGAGGCAAATGTTGCAAACTGAACATCCAAAGCCCTAAGTCACACTGAACTGCTTGAATAGTATGTTTCTAAAAACTGATATACGACTGTCTGCAGTGGCTGGAAAACTAACAGAGATACGATTAGCAAATCGTACTCCCCAGAATAATCGATGTCAGCTTTAATATTCATACCAGTTTTCGGACCAAACCTGAAAAGTTTTGTTCGAAAGGATTTACTCAGAGTTTGAGAATTTATTTCCTTGGTTCTGTTTTACCCTGCTTTTCTTACCTGCCTTCGTTTAGGATGTTTTCCTTCAGGCGTTTCCTAGGTATTCTTTTACCGTGTAATCTTACCAGTGCTAAGAAACTGCCTAAACCTAATTTTCAAAGCCATAACAGTGATAATACATAAGCCAATAAGTCGAGAAAGAACTTTATTTGTTAAATTTTAAGGACTTCCCTTACCGTTACAAAGCAGACTTAACAAAACAGAGTCGCATGCGAATTTTGTCCAATAATATTGCAAAGTCACCCATTCAAAATCAACTTCGACTATTTCTGTCATCGAAAGGACATTTATCTGCGCTGAAACCCTTTATTTTTTTCTGGTTTTCTCATACTCGGGCATTTTTAGCTCTAAGATGTTTTTTTAGGAGTCTCGGCTAAATGCCCTTGGCTATTTACACCTTCGCTGAAGAATCGACGCTTAGATGAATCGAAATTTAAATTGCACACAATTTGATTACCGGCAAAATGTTAGTGCCTTAAAAATCGCAAATCTTGACCATTGCGACCGTGCGTAGACTAGTTGAGTGCGCGTGCTCTGTGATTTCCAGACCACAGACTTGGATAATATTCTTCTTGTACTTCCACTCTGATCTGTTTTGTTTACAGCTAGTTACTCTACTTTACAGCCTGCCTTATTTGTATTTCAGGTTTATATTTAGACCCGTCAAGGCACCCGTTGCGAGCCCACTTGTTACAAGCACCTCTTCAAAAGTAAGATTTTAGGGTTTAAATTTATCTGGTATGTCTGCTAGCTTCAGCGGACACTGTTTTCTCCTTCCCCCGCTGTTTCTACCGCCAAAATCCTTCCAACTGCGAAAGTCATACCCCTCACGTAAACTTTTAAATTACCACTTTGATGCCCGGCAATACTTAGCTCAGAAATCAACAGACGATCTCCATCGCCAGAGCTTGAACTTACTGACATGGAAACCAGTCCAGGTATGTTTTATATGCCTACTTGTCAGTTTGCACTCAGATGCTAAGCGCGCTTCTGGCGCTCCGCAGAATCTGCCAGTGATGTTTTCGCCCCCGCAGCCCCGATACCCGTCAGCAACCACGTCAACGCATACATCTGCGCCGAATGTCTCTCCCTCCTGGATCGACGACAGCCATTGCGAAACCTCCTTTAGTAACGGAGCCATTTCTCCACAGTTCACACCCAAGTTGACTTCGACGCAGTCCCTGTCTCCGGTGGTGCAAAACTCACAAAAAGGGACCTCACCTGTTAAGCTGAGTCTAAAGTCATTGTTGCAGGCCCAGAATCAACAACAACCGCCGCCTCCTTCGACCTCTGGACCCTCTTCTGCCCAGCCTA